GTACAGGGGGACTGTCCCTTCACTGTCCTCCAGGGCAGCGGGGCTGGTCTTGCCCACCCCCCAAAAAAGTCTTGGAGTGAGGTGTGGGAAGGCAAAGTAGAGCAGTGAAGATGAGTCCCTGCCCTGCTGGGGGGGCAGCAGGGGGACCCCAGCCCCTGCCCCTCTCACCTGAACCAGGCAATAGCCCAGCAGCCGCAGGTGCCGGTCCCGCATGGCCCGCGAGCCCACCAGGATGTCGGAGTTCTGGCAGTAGTGCCACTTGTCATTGACCGACAGGACCACCCTGCAGGGGACAGAGCGGGGGCAGCGTCACCCCCGCGGCCGTGGCAGGAGGAGGTGGTGCTCCCGGGAAGGGGGGCTGCTCCCTACCTCTGGATCTCCTCGGCTCCCTGCGGTGCCTCGCCCGGCCCTCGCGGGGGGCTGGGCCGGCGCGGGGAGGGTGGGGGGCAGGGCTGGAGCTGCCCTGGCTCTCCAGGGAAGACTCTTTGCTCAGGCTGCAGTAATAGTCCGAGGGGGGCTGGTAGCAGGGACCCCCCGGGGCCGGGCAGAGCGCGGGCAGGAACCGCCCAGCCAGGCTGTTCTCCCGGGGGCCCGGGGGGCTGCTCGGAGTCTCCGGAGCAAAGGGGGCAAAGTCCTGCAAGTCCGAGGTGAGGGCCAGGACGCTGGAGCGCAGGGACACGGCGGCCGGGGACCCTGTGGCGTGGGCAGAAGGGGCCTTGGCAGCCGCGGGGACGCGGGAGAGCGGCAGCACCGCGCCCGAGCGGTTGATCCACAGCAGGAAGTCTGTGGAAAGAGCAGGGATCAGCACCCAGCCTGGAGATCCTCCCACCGACAGGACACGGGCAGGACCCTGTGTGCTTCAGGGTGGGTGGGAGAGGCTGGGCCAGCCAGCCCAGGACCCTCAAGGGAACCCCTCCCTGAGCCCCCCCGTGACGGGGGCAGCTCAAGGGGCTCCTCCCAAAGCACCAAGGGTCGGTAGTGTCACCGGGAGGGTGGTGACAAAGCAGCTGAGCCTCATTCTGCCCCTAATTACCTCCCACTCCTGAGCCCCCAGGCAGCTGCAGGGCTTTGCTGTCCCAGAGCCCCCCACCCAGGTGTCCCAGCCCCGTACCTGTGCAGTATCCTGGGGGCAGCACCTCGTCCTGCCGGTAACACTCCTCCCCCACCAGCTGCCGCAGCGCCTCGGCCACCAGCCCCTTGTAACTGAGGGGGACAGAAGAGTCAGAGGACACAGCAGGGAGGGTCCCAGCACCCCCAGCTCTCCAGCCCAGAGCTCCCTCTGCACAGGGACAGGGAGGCCCTGGGACCACAGAATGAGCAGGAGGCTCCAGCCTGGGGCTCCGCTGCTCAGGCTGGGAGGGACTTGATTCAGCTCAGGCAGCAGAAAAGCTCCTCCCAAGATGGACACACCAGCAGCACGTTCTTCTTCACCAAAAGGATGGTCCAGCACTGGAACAGGCTGCCCAGGGAAGGGTTTGAGTCCCCAGCCCTGGAGGGATGTGTCCTTAAGCAGCCTGGATATGGATGAGGGAGGGGACTGTCCCCTCTGCTCTGCTGAGACCCCCCTGCAGGGCCAGGGCCAGTCTGGGGTCCCCAACACATGAAGGACATGGAGAAGAAGGACATGGAGCTGCTGGAGTGAGCTGCTGGTGTTCAGCCTGGAGAAGAGAAGGCTCCAGGGGGACCCTAGAGCACCTTCCAGTGCCTGAAGGGGCTTCAGGAAAGCTGGGGAGGGGCTTGGGACAAGGGCAGGGAGGGATGGGATGAGGGGAAAGGGTTTCCAGCTGGAAAAGGGAATTGGAGATGAGATGTGAGGGAGAAATTCTGGGCTGTGAGGGTGGGGAGACCCTGGCCCAGGCTGCCCAGAGAAACTGTGTCTGCCCCATCCCTGGCAGTGTTGAAGGGCAGGTTGGATGGGGCTTGGAGCAGCCTGGGCTGGTGGGAGGTATCCCTGCCCACGCAGGGTGGACTGGGACTGGATGATGTTTAAGGCCCCTTCTCACCCTTCAGTTTGGGGTTCTAAGCTTTAGCGGTGGACTTGGCAGTGTCAGGTTTATGGCCGGACTTGATCTTTGGGATCTTTCCCAGCCCAAATGACTCGGATTCTGCTGCTCCTCTCCAGAGTTCCCCTGCCACAGCAGGGTCCAGAACAAGGTCACCAAGCTGCGAGGGCCAGGCAGGGTGTGCCCAGCTCCCCGTGTCCCCCCCAGCCCCCACTGCTGACCTGTACTTTCTGTTGGCCTCGTCAGCCGTCAGGGCGTGCTCGAACATCAGGACGCGGTACCGCGGGTCCAGGCGGGGGCCGCGGTATTCCCGGAATTCCAGCTCCCCCGCCGCGTCCAGCAGCGACAGGTACCGCCGGACTATCAGGGCGTAGGGGCTGCCTGTGGGGAGAGGAGGCTGCTGGACCCCCCAGGACGCCCCTCACCCAGCCAGGGGGTCCTGTGCTCCTGGTGGGGGGCGGGTCTGTCCTGCCCATCACTTCCCAAACCCAGCCCAGCTCCAGGGACCCCTCCCTGGGAAAGACCCAACATACTCATGACGTTGGTGATGAAGGCTGGGGAGAAGACTTGGTGCAGGACGGTCTGGGGGAAGTGGCTGAGCTGGAACATGGACATGAGGATGTTGACGGTGGCCAGGGGCGAGCTGCCAGCCTTCTGCTCCAGGATGGCCTCCAGCTTGGGGAACAGCTCGCCGTGGTTGGACGGGCGGTAGTTCATGCGGCTGCAGGGAAACACCAGCTT